CACACACCACACACACACACACCACACACCACATACACACACTCCCCACACACACCACACACACACACCACACACACCACACACACCACACACCACACACACACACCACACACACACACCACACACACACACACACCACACACCACACCACACACACCACACACACACACACACACACACACGTAGCAGCCTCACTTAGAGGCCTATGTATTCCAGTCTACTCCATAGCACATTTGTATCATGGTCATCTGTGTGGTCAAGGCGGTGCCTTCTCTTTCAGGCGACAGGAGTATCTTTTCTTCCTACTGCAGCAGATGTGCCTTCAGATCAGCATCATAAAAGAGGTAACATGTCTGCTTTTATTCTTTTGAAACTTTATGTGTGTGAGTGTTTTGCCTGCATGTATGTCTGTGTACCATGGAGACCAGAAATGGGCCTCAGATCTCCTGGGACTAAAGTTATGGAAGGTTGTGAGTTGTCATATGGGTGCTGAGAATAGCCCTGATCTTCTAGAAGAGGGGCCAGCACTCCTAACCTTTGAGCAGTCGCTCCATCTCCCTCTTCTTTTTCTTCTTCCTCCTCCTCCTCTTCTTTTCAAAAATAACTGGAAGAGCCTTGCTAGGCAGGAATCATTCAGTCATGTCTTGGGAGCTGTCCAATAACTTCTCCTCATTGTGACTAGTGGCCCAAAGGCCCCCAAAATTAGTATGGGCTAGGTTGGAACTTGTTGGAATCCTTCTCTGGAAGACAAGAACAAGCAAGCTGGAGCCCACATCAGATTCCTTCCTTTGTAGCACCTGAGGACCAAAGGTCATACACATAGTGTCACAGCCCTATCCCCTGCCAGCCATCCCAGTAGTCAACTTCCTATAAATGTCAACATTCATGTACTGACACCTGCACATCACACATGGGACAGCTTCATTAAAGATGGTGTTTACTTGTTTATTTGGAATTTATTATGTAGACCAGGCTGACCTTGGATTTATAGAGATAAATTGAGTACTCCCTTACTCAATCACCCAAGAACTGGGATTAAAGATATGTGCCACCATGCCCAGCCAAAGATTGATTTTAATTAGGTTATTGCTTTATTTACAGCTGTGAATAGACAAGGCAGCTCTTATAAGGACAACATTTAATTGGAGCTGGCTTATAGGTTCCGAGATTCAGTCCAACATCATCAAGGCAGGAGCCTGACAGTGTCCAGGTAACCATGGTGCAGGAGTTGCTGAGAATTCTACATCTTCATCTGAAGGATACTAAAAGAAAATTGGCTTCCAGGCAGCTAGAATGGGGGTCTTAAAGTTCACAAACACAATGACACACTTCTTCCAACAAGGCCACACCTCTTAATAGTGCCTCTCCCTCTGACAAGCATATGCAAGCCACCACAGTTGTCAACATACTTGAACACGAGCTATCTCCAGGTAAGATATAGTTAAGCTTTTTTATTTTGCCTCATAATTTATAAATAGGATAAACCATTAACAAAACAATAAAATTCACATTTTTTCCAAAGGAGATCAGTTTTAATGACCTGTACCTGAGCAAGCTTTTCACAGGATCAGACTATTCTATTTACCTTTAGGAACTAAGATCTCACCAAGTTACAGTCCTTTAGAGAAGATTTGGTCAGGCTCTGGAACAGTCATTCCAAGTCTTGTCCCTCAAGGGAAAGACATTGGAGGAAGTCCCAGATGCTGCCCTACTAAGCTGGAGCCCTACTTCATCTGCTATGCACAGATCTGGGTTCATTGTCCAAGACGCAAACTTCCTTTCATCTTTTACAAAAGATACCTTTGTTATCTACATTTTCCAGAAGGAAAAAAGAAAAGAGGATAGTAAGAATATATCCACTGACCTAAGAGCCTGCCATATTTGCAGGAAGAAGGCAGTTGTGTGCTTTTCCTGAGAAGGAGAGCTGCTTAGTTGTCACTTTCTTGTGCTATGGTGATAGTCTACCAGCATGGTGTGTCAGGAGAATCTAGTAACTCACAATAGATCTTAAAGGGAAAGAATCAGGCTTTTTGTCTAATACAATATTTATGTAAAATAGTCTATAATTTTTTATTCAATATACCCTATTTCAACAATTCAGTATTACACCTCCCCTCTCCCTTAAGCTCTGAAATCAGAAGTAAGCTCTGAATACAGGGTCAGGTGCCTGGCTTCATACAGGGCTACCAGGTAGCAGTCAATATGTAGTGACAGGACATTCCACTGACAGCTGTTAGGATCAAGATGCCTTTTTCTCTCAGCAGACTGAAGCTGGGGGCTGTGTGGGTCATATGATGATTTTCAGCCTGGGTTACAATGTAAGAACCTATCAGAGAGGGGGGAAAGAGACAGAGAGAGACAGAGAGAAACAGAAGAAGGAGAGAGAGGGGGAGAGAGAGGGAGGGAGAGAGACACAGAGAGAGACACAGAGAGAGAGATAGACAGAGATAGAGACAGAGACAGAGACAGAAACAGAAAGAGACAGAAGAAAAGAAGGAGAGAGAGGGGGAGGGAGAGGGAGGAAGAAGGAGAGGAGACCCCTTAAATTTAATGAAATATGGTTGCCCCACATCTGCAGATTCAATCAACTGCACATTTAAAATACTTGAGGAAAAACTGCATCTGTATTGAACAGCCACAGAACTTTTTTCTTTGCATTTATTCTTCAAATAAGTTAATACTGTAGCTATTTACCCAGCAGTTAAATTGTATGCAGTATTATGAGTAATCTTGAGATAAAGTATTCAGAAAGATGAATGTAGGATATATGTAAACACTATGCCATTTTATAGAAAGGACTTGAAAAATCCACATATCTCTGAGTCTGCAAGGATCCAGGGACTAATCCCAGCAGGCAAAGTGACCGCCATACATAGTGACCTATTTAAAGCGATAGAAAACTAAACAAGAACTAATTTCAGCTCACTGGTTAAAGAGCATATGCTGTGTAGGGCGGTGGTGGCGCACGCCTTTAATCTCAGCACTTGGGAGGCAGAGACAGGTGGATTTCTGAGTTCGAGACCAGCCTTGTCTACAGAGTGAGTTCTAGGACAGCCAGGGCTACACAGAGAAACCTTGTCTCGAAAAACCAAAAAAAAAAAAAAAAAAAAAAACCAAAAAAAAAAAAGAACATAAGTCTGGTGGCCCACAAGTGCCTGTAGCTCCAGCTCCAGGGGATCCGATGACCTCTTCTGGCCTTCACAAACACCTGCACTTGTGTACTTGTGTGTACATACCCCACACACAGACACACATGCATATATGTCATTTAAAATTAGATCTTTCAAAGAGTTAGTTTTGAAAAAAAAATTTTATATGAAGGCTTTAAGCTGTTTCTTGATAGAAAAAAAGCCAGCCAGCAAACAAGCCATCCTCGGGGATGGAGAGATAGCTTAGTGGTTGGAAGTACTTGTTCTTGCAGAGGGTGTGGGTTTGATTCCCAGCATCCATGGAGCAGATTACAACTGTCCATAACTCCAGTTCTAGAATGCACATAGTACACAGACATACATGTGATCAAAGCGTTCATACATATAAAATAAATATTTAAGAATACCAACGTCTCAGCTTACTGCTTCCGCCACCGGGCCTGTCTGCGGCCATGCTTCCCTGACATGACAATGATGGACTCGAACTTGTGTCTTGGTCATGGTGCTTTATCACAGCAATGGAAAGGTAACTGATACATTCTGCCTGGGTGGGATCTCAAGGACCTCCAGCTTAACTTAAAACACACAGAACTTAATCTAAGGGGAAAGGTTCCCTCATCCTTGACCATGGGGACAGATCTGGAGTTGGCAGGTAGACTTGCAGGTAGCTTGTTTTCTACTTTCTGACTCATCCTCCCCTCCAGAATGCTGTTAAACCCAGAGCTCCTTCGTTCTCTAGAAAACACGTCTCTCTCTTCTGTGCATAAAGATTAAGTTGCCTGGCAGCCTAGAGAGAGACAAGGCCCTAAATTCCAACTGTTATTCAGACTCCCAAGCTCCATTCCTAATGACTCTCCTGATCCTGCCTCCACAACACTCCCCTCATCCTTGAGGATTTCTGAAGGTTGAGGACCAACTAGCTGGCTGTTCATCACAGTTATGAAGGCCATCCTTAGCCTTCACCAAACTACACTCTGAGGTCACAGGTGCTCCACTTTCTTTCTCTCCTTCCTTCTTCCTTCTTCCTTCCTTCCTTCCTTCCTTCCTTCCTTCCTCCCTCCCTCCCTCCCTCCCTCCCTCCCTCCCTCCCTCCCTCCCTTCCCTCCTCTCTCTCTCTCTCTCTCTCTTTCTTTCTTTCTTTCTTTCTTTCTTTCTTTCTTTCTTTCTAAAAATGTATTTATTTTATATATGAGTGCTCTATCTGCATACCCACTGCATGCCAGAAGAAGGTATCAGAATTCATTATAATTGGTTATGAGCCACCAGGTGGTTGCTGGGAACTGGAAAAACCACCAGTGTTCTTAACCACTGAGCCATCTCTCCAGCTCCCTTCCTCCACGTTCAGTCACCATGTACCGTAGCCGAAACACAGTGTGTCAGCCACTTTTTCTTACACATCAATCATGTTTGCACTCCTCCCACTTGTCCTCGCTAACGTGACAGGAAGGGGGCAGACATGTCTTCGATCCGTCTCCTTAAAACCAAGATTGATTCACTTTTCCAAAGTTGATCTCCAGAAACTTCTCCATAACAAACAAGCATAGAAACTCCTAAATTTATTTACTGTAACCTGAACTATCACATGTCAGCACTTCTAGAACTTTCTGGGTCTGTGGTGTACCTAGAAACTCACAAAAATGTACTTGACGCTGGGCAGAAAGTGATTCCCTTCTCTTGCGCTTCAGCTGTCTGTCAGTCTGTCCTCACTGCATAGTTATAAGCACGCAAGTCAGTACCACTGAAAGTCCCTGGAAAGCCAGCCAGTCTTCAGAGAAGTTAATAAGCCTTGACCCATTCCATGCAGACAGAAGAGGCAACAGTTCAAAGGCAGCTGAAATGTCAACGGGACCTGGAACGGGCCAGTCAGTGACCCCAGAATAAAAATGCTGAGTTTGTGCTAATCCTGAGCAGCTGAAGACAGAAGTGTATTACAAAGAATTCAAGACAACGTTCTGGAGCTGAAAGGCTTAGCTTTGAGGAGCTGGAAAAGCAACAGAAATCATCCTGAGCTATTTCCCAACAGAAAGATTCTGTTTAGCCTTTTTCACTAGAGTTGGAGCCAAATTTGAGTTAGCTCTTAATATTTCTGGCCACTCAAGTCAAAGGCGCATTTCTGGGAACAGCCTGTCACCACGGGCTCCAGGCTGAGGCAGAGAGGGAGCCTGTCTGTGTGACAAGCTTTCTCCCTTTTCATCATCTTGACCAGCAACTCCAGGACACTGGCACAGTGACAGTGTCTTCATCCCAGGGATCCAAGTCCTCGGCTGTCCACTGTTCACCTGCCTTGCTATAAGAGTCAAGAATCTTAGAGTCAAGCAACCGATCCTAATACACATTCCAGCCACAGTAAACAGGCAGACAGACTGGTGCACACACCTTTAATCCCAGTGCGAGGAAATAGAGGCAGGCAGATATCTGGTAATTTAAGGACAGCCTGGTCTATACAACAGAGCTAATTTCAGGCAAGCCAGGGCTACATAGTGAGACCCTGCCCAAATTAACTAATTAATTAAATACAGTTTTGTAAGATCCTTGAAAAGACAGAGTCCTTTAATTTGGAAATCCACTTTAGTTATCTACTCATCTGCTCGTTTATCTTATAAATGATTCCACTTACAATCTTTATGTAGCCAGATGGCGGCGGTGCA